GCGGGTACAAATAAAGTTGATTGATTAATTGGTTGATTTGATTGATTTGGAGTGGAATGCATCATCTTAGAAAAATGCTAACCCTTCATCACGGCTAAAACTTCCCTACAAGARGTCAAACTTGCAGTTGCACCTGTTGTCTGAGCGGCAGTTCAAACTGCCAGACAACAGGCACCTGCCATGCTGTTTTCAATTAACTAATTTTGATTTTAAAACCCTCTTTAGCAGCATCAGAAGCATAACTCTCAGAAAGTGAGCTAAATAATGCAAATGGTAGTGCTAATTTTTGACATTTTATTTTACACTTGGCATCCCATTGATATATTTAATGTGAGAGCACATAAAAAGGACAGTAATATGAAGAATACTTGAGAGAACGAGTCCTGCCAGGAGCCACTCTACCCTTAAAATATAGTTCATTTACATCAGTGAAGTCAGAATGGAGAGTTAACGATGCTAAATAACTAACATTATTTYTAGCTTTAGCATAAAACCACCACACAGTCAAGCATTTAGCTGGTTAAAAGCTTGGCTTGACTTTGTTTTCCCTGCACATTATTTTTAGCCCGTTTTCACAGATAAGCTATATTTTATCTTTCTCACTTTTGCAAACTGTCAGGTTCCTGTGCAGATTGACAGAGTTGAATGACAGCCAAAGCATAATGGAGGGGTTGGATCCAGCAAACTCAAAAGACYTTCTAAATATGTGCTGCTTTAGCGTGAACAGTAAAGACTTCTCCTCACAATGAGTCACCTACACAAATTTTGTTAGATGACTTAAATGATAAAAAATAAGCCAAAGTCATATTCAGCAGGAAAAAGAAGTTACAAACCGTTAATCCTAACAGATAARGCTGTTGTACTCAGTCTGGCACAGGAAAAGCAACTTTATGGATATTTCTTTTCAAAGCCCTTGAACTCTTTTCACTCACATCCATAAAATAAATTATAGAGGTTAGCGAGTCCGTTATTTTAAATGGAGGAGCTTCTCTATAATATTTGGTTTTAGCTGTATTGCTGAAATTGGTTTGTGAAGTTATGGATTTCTTGCCAACTTTGTTTACTGACAAAACCATCACGCACTCAGAAGGAAGGGTGGAAAAGAAAATTGCACTTGTTGAAAAGTCACGTGACAGACTTGCAGTGATTGTAATATCAGATCAGATGGATGGTAGAGTTGGAAGTATGGGCATCCAACTGGTCCCATGTCAGAGAGAAGGCAAATCCCTTTGTGTGATTTAAATCCAGACCATTAAGATCCAGCACATTGACACTGGACCATAGTCARAGGGAGATAAATCCATGTTTTATTAGGAAAAGATCAAGGAACCTGACTAGTCACAGAGAGGACCTGTTTATGCAGTCATAGTCCACAGTCCACACGTGTCTGAACAGGTGTTTTCTTGTTAAAAGACTAAACCACAGTGCTGTCACAGGAGGCCTAACACATATGTAAACAAGGTGATTTGAAGTCYCACCTTATGGCTCCTCACATCACGATGCCAGGAATAAAACGATGTCTCTCCACAACCCAGACAGGGTTGATTGTGATAGATTTTTGTTGATTTCATTGTACACTTCACATATACATATTTTTATTGAGATGTTTAGAATGATTTTTTATAATCAGTGTTCAATGAGTTTTATTTTTATACTAGATTAAAATACTGTGATTAGGTTGCAAAAAAATCTTCCTAGGTTATATTTAGTCACACACCCTTGCACTGAAATAAAACACAATCAAACACAATAGCTGTGTCTCAGTAGTGATCTCCACTCATGACATCACACATACATTAACTGATGCTCTCTCAAATGATTGGACAATTGGTGTGAATTAGTACTGGGATTCAGTGGTAATGTCAGAACAGAAACATATTTTCCAAGAGCAAATGTTGACACATCAGGAATCACAGGAAAGTTTAGTTGAAAAGCTGAGGTCTTCGACAAGACTAAGCGAGCGGAATTGTTTCAAATTTGGTGTTTTTACTGTTTGTTGTCTTATATCATAGCTTGTGACATCTGGCCTGTGTGCGTGTGTATTTTTAGCACTTGAGCCACTGCTTTTGCCTTGTTTATAGAAACTTAATGGTGATGTTTAAAACTTGTGTAAATATATTATCACTGAATGCGTGACTGGCTGCAGTAGACTGCTGTATGGATGCTAGGAGTAGGTATGTGTCCCCATATTGTGTTAAAACCCATTTTATTGGATGCAGCTAAAATCAAATAAGCATATAACACAAACAGTGTTCTAATTATTTACCTTTTAATAAATCTGCGGCATGACTTTTAATCACTGGAATCTAAAAAAATGTGTCAACTGGGATCAAAGATTGTCACATACCTACTAGGAGTAAAGCTAGCAGTGCGTGAGCTACAGTGAACACAATAAGGTTTACTGTACCTGGTTAAGAGCCAGAAAGTGCAGGGATCGGATCTGGGATAAAAAGTTTGGAGCAGACGTTAAGTTCATGGTTGCACTTTTTTCCAGTCAAATTCAGCATGTCAGAATCCAGCTGTTAGCTAGTATATTTGAAGGAAAAAGTGACAAAAAATACTCCTTCCATGCGGTGTTGATGGCTGTATCCTGAGTCACTGTTACAAGAACCGTAGCGCAATGTTTTGTGGTCCTCCTGGAGAAGTTTCACACTGTTTTCACAAATTTAAGTTTAAACAAAAGTGTCTTCATTTTTCTGTTTGGCTTGCTGACAGCGCAAGTAATCCTGGCATTTCATCAGCGAGTAGGATACTAAGATGCAGCCTATGTTTTTGTAGTTTTGTCGGCCGCATGAGTAGGCACCTATAGTTGGTTTACAGCAGCACAGTGACATAAGCGGCCGAGGAATGCGCCCTACGTTGACTGCAACCTCTGAACTAAGACACAACCATAATGTTTCTACATCTAAGCTCGTAGGATTTCCTTAGTTGTGAACTGAGTCAGTTGGAAAGGTGAGGTCATATCCCCTTTTTTAATTATGTCATTTCCAGGGCATTCATGTCATTCCACCTGCTCTCACTGAGCGTGACTCAGTTCTGCAGAGAAGTGTTAAAACTTCCGTGTTGTAAGCAAAACTGTGCCAACTGCCAATGACCTGAAGTTCTGTGTTCTTGACCCAGCTGCAAAAGGTTCTGGTAATCTTTGAATGTGCAATTAAATACTCAAGTATAACTTTGAATCGGTTTCCTATAATTTGGGGTTACTTTGAACACTCTGTTTCTTTCTATTCTTTTCCACTGGCAAAGTCGTGCACCCACTTTGGTCAACCGTGGTAAGGCAAGGCTGAAAATCATTGTTAAATGATAAATGGACTGTACTTATAGCACATTAGCACATTTCTATACAACCAGGATACTCAAAGCGCATTACAACACAATCTGTGCCCTCATTTATGTATTCACACTCACATTTATACAGCACTCCACATCTTTACAAAGCTAATCGACAGTCCATAAATCATTCTATAGAGATTAGTCAGTGCTTTAAATCACTTTTATACACCGATGGGACACACATCAGACACAGCGGGGGTTCAGTGTCTTGCCCAAGGACACTTTGATGTGACTGAAGCTGCGTTTCCATTTACCATGAAAATGCGCAGATTAGAATTTTGAAAATAAATTTGCTCAATGGAAACACGTCAATTAAAAAAAAATAAAGTTTTTCGACAAAATGTTTTTTGCGCTAGGATGAGGTGGTTTTTCGGCCGTATCGAAATTGGTGTTTTTCACAAAACTGTATTGGAAATACTTTTTCGCATCACGGGAGTCACGTGATCAACAACCGGCTGTTTCTACTGGCGAAAAAGGCGACGAGGAAGACAACAGGAAGTAGAAGTAGTAGTGAAATCACAGAAGTAGTAAAATAAAGTAATAAACTCACCGACTACAATTTCCCAAAAACACAGCATAGCCGCTCCCAAGTAGGGGCTTGTCGCTGGAAAGTCTTGATAAAAGACGCCGACGTCTCCTCTGATGATGAGCGCTAGTATCGTGGTAACAACATGCTATGTGTTTACATCCATTGCCGCCATGTTTGTAATGACTTATTGCYAGAACAAGCGTATTCACGCGAGACTTTAATAGCATTTCTTAATGGAAACACRGCAGTTGCGAAACTGTGTTTTTCGARATTAACAGAATGTCGACAAAGTTTTGCGCACATTTGCAATGGAAACACAGCTAGTGTAGAGGAATCGAACCCTTAACTCTCTCATTAAAGAACAACTCCCTTAACCACTCATCCACAGCTGCACTGCTGTACACAACCCCGTGTCATCAGTATATTGGCACCACTCTAGATATTGTGCCGCTGTGACATCAGTTGCAAAATGCAACCACCCAACCTCCCATTGTGACTCACATCCAACATTGTCAAGTGCTGCTGATGCTAATTTATCTGTGAAGTATCCTCTGTGACTGGTGACCTTCAACTGCTTGATAACACCATCGATGCCACCCCTTATGCCCTCTGGTGTCCATTGCAGATATGCCAGCTCATTGCAAATCAAGTCATTTATAGACTTGTCACTTGTTAGTAACAAAGTAGATGCCAATAAAACCATTCTTTCTAACGTGTGCTAGAGCGTACTCACAGTGTATATCATGACTTTGTCAAGTATGAGTATTTTCATTGACATGTGGTTACAGCATGTAGTCACACATGCATGCACTCAGTCAACTTCCTTGCAGTTAGCTCCACCAACGCAAACAGAGGTCATACTGTGAAATTACCTAAAACAATCTTCGCTTGATCTCCTCCTGCTGTCTCAGTGTCTTCATCTCCGGCTAAGACTGGCTGAAGAGGAAAGATAAAACAGGAACATCCTAATCTGTGGGTGGCACAATCTTACAAAGAAGGCAATTAAGATTAAAATATATAGTTCCCTTGCCCTTTTTTCTCCTTCCTCCTCTTCCCTTTTGTCTCTCCTCGCGCTCATCCTTCCTCTCCACCCATGAATTAATTTCTTTGTGTGTGTCGTGTTTGTGTATCCCCACAGAGCAGCACGAGCATTTGGAGAGTACCTGTCCCACACTCACCCTGAAAACCGAAACGGATCAGGTCAGCGTCTCTGTCATCCTTCCCTCTTGTTCATCCCTCTTTTCCTATTCTGCGTGTTCCATAGATGTTTCAATCCTTCCGTTTCATCCTCTACGGAAAATGCCAGGTTGTCCTCGCTGGTGTGCCGCTACAACAGCTGATAACCAGAGATGATGATGTCACTCTATCTGTCATACTTTTACTTTTTATTTTCCTTCTTCTTTAACTCCTCACCAAATGTTTTTATACTCACCTTCTTCTTTTACTTTCTAGCTCACCTTCTGTGTGAATCGTTGGTGGGTCCTGATCCAGAGTCGCCAACCGACCCAGTTGGCCCTGACAGTAACGCTCACGTCAATCCCTGCTCCACCACCAAAAACTGTAAGACAAAACAAGAGGTAGCTAAAGAGAAACTGGCCTTTATCCAGCCTCCTGCCCGCTCCGTCGCCATTTCCACCAAGCCTGGGTGTCTGTCGCTTGAAAGCAGCTTCACGGCGGAGGAAGAGCAGAAGAAGTCCYTAGAGTGCGCCCTGCAGCCCGCCCGCGTCTACACCATCACCACCCAACACGGTATGTTGATGAGCAYCAGCCGGGACAGCAAAGAGAGCCTAGAACTGGACGTCTTAAAGGAAAAGTCGGGGAGCGGTGGGTCTAGAGGTGGCTCGGTCCAGCCCTCCACCTCCCCGTCCTCCGTCACTTCGTCTCCAACCCAATGCAACCGTTCGAGCAGTGGCCGCGGCGCAAACAACTGCAGCGGCGGACACCATCACCACTGTAACCACCACCACCATCACACCGCCGCTCTCACCAACACCCCTGCTAGCAGCGGAGGAGTAAGCGGGGCGGGTGGGAGCAGCAGTAGCAACCAGCAGCAGCAGCAGCAAATACCTGTTGCAGGGCCCCACTCCCATCATGCAGTGCACCACCACCACCACCATCTGTCCCAGCCGCCTCTGCAGACCTCAGTCAGCGCCCACAACATCCGCAGCCTGGGAGACACTGGGAAAGGCGAGGCGGAGTACCGGGGGATGGCTTGTGAGTCCTGCAGCGGTACGCCATCTCGCAGCCAAGGCTCTCTAGACCTGGAGAGCACATCCCGAGACCAAGGCAAGCAGCACCGACGCCTAGAGCGGATGTGGAGTGTGGACCGGGTGACTGGGCTGGAGAGAGGTGAGAGGGTGGAGGACACAAAGGAAGTGAGAGACCCTGAGATCCAAATGGGTGGGGATGGGAGAGACCCTTAAACTGGTCTTTTTTTTGGTTTCTGGTCCAGAGAAGAAATATCATTGAACCACTTTCAGATAGCTGCATAGGAGGCAATAAATGTTGTGTTGCTTTTTATGCTTTACCAGTCGTAATAAATGAAACACACAAACAATTGAAATCAATTTCTTCTCTGGTCTCTTGGGGACTGTTGGTGTTAGATGTGACGTGTATTTCTGACTCTCCGTCTCTTCTTTGCTGTTTCTTCCTTTGTGTCTCCCTCTCTCCATTTGTTGAGTGGTGGACTGTGAGGTGCTGGTGCTGGTTTTGTGCTTTCATTTTAACCTTACCTGAACTATTGCCAGTACGCTGCACAGATTGTTTTCTTTGTCCATCGAACARTGGAATTCTAATTTCTTTCCCTTTTTTTTGCAGAAGACACAAACTGGTTCCCCAAGGAAAACATGTTCTCCTTTCAAACAGCCACAACAACTATGCAGGCGTGAGTGTTCAACCTTTTTCAAACACATGAAAATACGCACGCCAGCTGTTCACACTGTCAAATTCAGCGTGTATCTACAGTCTGAAAGGTCAGCGTAAACAAACCAAACTAGTGTGTCTGAACATTAACTGGAAATAAATAGTTAAATACAATCCTGCCAGCCTTTTTCCAAAGTGTGTGATTGGATTTTAAATGGATTTTCAGTCGTCCAGGTTGTAAGATTTGCATTTTAGCGAGCTAGAAATACTTTACTTTCCAAGTCCCTGAAACGTAAACAAAGCAATTKGTCACTGTGAATATTTTGTCTGTGTAAAGTTAAATAACTGAATCGCATTAGAACTAGAACTTTTTTTTATAAAACTTGGCAAGGAAAGTGGCAGGTGATATGCATTCCTAGAAGCAATGCAAATGTAGTTGTTTTAATGARACTTTATATTTGACACTTGAGGAACGAAAGAAACAAAATTTCCAAAATTGGTCTTATGCAGTGGTTCTCAATTATTCTCTGTCACCCCACCCTGGAATCTTAAATTTGTATACACATCCCTGATAACCTGATGACATTTTATATACATAAGCATTCCTTGAATGAATGCATGTCACTCGCTGTGTTGCATGGCAATGTTTTTAACTAAGGACTTATTGACCACACCAAACTTTAGCTGAACATCTGTAAAACTGACTCCGGTGGCCATCTTGAATCATTTTATCTCCAAAAGTTAATGAGTAATCAATCCAGTTAATGTTTCACGAAATATTTTGCTAACAGGCAGAGACAAACACATGCATGCAAAGATGCAGACATTCACATAATTGCCTGCTTTTCATGGCGGTGGGCAATAGTTAGAGTATGTTTGCATTAACAGCAGTAAGGCTGAGCTGTTAGTGTGTAGTTCAAGGGCTGAAGCATAAAATCCAAAGAATCTTTTTCAAAAAGACGTTAAAGAAATGAAACATAGATAAATGTGAATATGAGTCAGGGCGTCTGGTTTAATGTTCTTTTATTTGCATATGAAAGCTAAATGAGATTCTGTCTCGAGATCACCTGCAGCTATAAAAGAGATCTCAGCTGTCATAATTAGTTCACATAAAAATGCKGAATCTCCTGCAGTCTGCATCTTCTCTGCCATTTAAACTCGTTTTCACTTCTGTGTTTGACTCTTCCTTCTTCAATCTTTGATTAGAAGCTTGTTCTCGTGTGTTTTAACCTTTAAAATCATATTCAGCTAATGTTATTGTATAAGTGGCTGCTGGTTAAATAATCGCAGTCCAGCAGCTATTATGTGACATTATTTGCTGCTGTTTTATTCATGGACATCAAACACTGACACACTTGTCTCTTTCCTCTCTTCTCGCATTCTGATTAATCTTCGGATCCTCAAACAGGATATCGTGAGTAATCTGTCCTGCATGCTTTTCTTGTTTTCAGCTCACCTAACACTTAACAGCTGAAATCTACAATTAACCTTCATCCACTGGTAGTTAAAACAGCTATTATACAATATAGCTGRATTTGTCTGTATAATAGCTAATGTGGAGCTAGACAGGTTGTGAAAGAATAGTCAGCTGCTGCAGTTTTTTCTCTCCTAACGTTTACATTTGAGAAGATTTGACTAAAGGTTTATCATCTGATTGGCAGTTATGGATAATTAAGGTTTAAGGCCTGTCAGAGCAAATGAGACATTTTAATTTCAGCTAACAGCCCAAAGGAGAAAGTTACAGGATTTTCATGCAACAGAAAAGATAAAGTCCAGTCGGTGTAAATCCACTGCAGCTCTACCAAAGTGAAGTCCACAAAATGACTGTCTTTGTGTCGAAGGACCAAAACCTTTCACTCTCTCTCTCTCTCTCTCTCTCTCTCTCTCTCTCTCTCTCTCTCTCTCTCTCTCTCTCTCTCTCTCACACTCACTC